CATACATTACATACATACATACATACATACATACATATACATACATACATACATACATACATACATACATACATACATACATACATACATACATACATACATACATACATACATACATACATACATACATACATACATACATACATACATACATACATACATACATACATACATACATACATACATTACATACATACATACATACATACATTACATACATACATACATACATACATACATTACATTACAATACATTACATTACATTACATTACATTACATTACATTACATTACATTACATTACATTACATACATACATACATTACATACATACATATTACATGCATACATACATTACATTACATTACATTGCATTACATTACATTGCATTGCATTGCATTTACATTACATTACATTACATTACATTGCATTGCATTGCATTGCATTTACATTACATTACATTACATTACATTACATTACATTACATTACATTACATTACATTACATTACATTACATTACATTACATTACATTACATTACATACATACATATAGAAAAGTGATATACATATGTGGAAATATACATGCAGGCACGCACAGAGTACGTGAAATGAATCGAACATGATCGAAGTTGTGGTCATTTTCCTCCAGAGCCCCCCTTCATGGCACTGGCGCGAAGCGGCACGAAGCGCTTCGGCTCCTCTGGCAGTCGTGCGTGCGCGGCCTCCGGCGCCAGCACCGCCCCGGCAGCGGCCAGCTTTGCCACATCCTTTCGAACGGCTGCTGGAAATCCCGTGTCATGTTTTGTTTTCCTGTTTTCTGTTGCTTTCCGCTTGCCTGTTGTTCTCCTGTTTTGTTTGTTTTGTTCTTTTTTATCCAGCATTCAACGGCAACTGAAGCACCTTCTTTTGGCGCCGTTTCCCTCTGCCTCGCCTCCCCACGCAGGGTGGTCTTGGATTCGGAAGGGCTCACGAAGGCGTTCTGCAGGAGGCACAGCGCCGCCAGGGCGGCCAGGAGCACCAGGAGTCCGGAGGAGCCTCGCCCAGACTAAGGATTGGGTGGATCGGCTGACCAGATCCCTCTCAGGTCGGGAAATGTCTGGCACTCGAAACCCAGGCGTGTCTTTTTTGGGAGACCCCCCACAGTGGACTTTGGTGTTCCTTGTTGCTTCCCTCTAAAACCACAAAGAAGGTTTGCAAATCAAAGACGCATCTAGACCTTCATCGATTTTGCTCCCCCGAGCTGCAAGCTGCAAGAAAACCAGGGCGTTGTGTTCCCGTTTACACTTGCTTTCTTTTGGCTATCTATGCTTGCTCCATGTTCAACCCGAAACTGAAACCCAAAGCTTCAATCTGTTCCACCATTTGAAGGGCCAACATACGAGAGGTTCCCAAACGGTGATTGGAAGCGCGGGCTGAGGTGTAAGGATCAAACCACCTGCAGGCCAGGCGCGGGCCATGGCTTGTGTTCGGTCGCTGCGGTTCAGGCGCTGTTCACCGTGCGTGGCAGGAGCTACAGGAGCCGTCAGACGGGTGGCGGAGGTGCCCTAGCCGGTTTCCCGCCTTTCCAGCAAATAACTCTTTAGTCTCAGCCCAGTTTGGACGAAACGAATGCTGGAGCCATGCAAGACCAAAAGGGGGAGCAGGTTTCGCCCATGGATTCTACTGAAATGATAAAGGGGAGCACAGGGCACGCTACACTATTCTCCCGAATGGCGGGCTCAAGGGGCGGGGGGGGGGGGAGCCAGCGAAACCCCACGATGCAGTCCTGCACTTGGGGAAGTCGCAAATTGTAGCAGGCAACCGAGGGGAAACCGCCATGTGCGAAAAGGAAAAAACTGGTTACCCGCTGCAATGATAACCAAGAGTCTAAGGCGCAAGGGGTTGTCAAAAAGTTAGGACCCCTTTTGAGCCCCTGGTGTGTTTACGCAATCGTTTGCTCGGATCTGTGCTCATGTTACATCATTTTACTGCGAAACGGAGTGCACCAAGATTTCAGCCACTTTTCTTGCCTTCACTCCAAATCAAGTCAGCTCTGCAGCTGGCAGAAAAAGTCGACAGTCTTTCTGTCAAGGTGTCCGTCCTTTTGCGTGTCCACCGCAAGGGCCTTTCTTGGAAGGCGAGCAACCCTCAAGCTAAGGCTTAGCAACAAAACAGTTTCTACCCCCAACTGTGCCACTAAGCATGTTTTACGAAGCTCAGAAACCAATTTGGGAAGCCACAAAACAGCTGACATATGTTTAACTCTCATGGGTTGCTGGCGCTCTCCACGCCCTCGGTGACTGAAAACCTCCATTCCGCTCATCGGAAGCCGACGGCTGCCTAGCGAGCAAAAAGGCGGGCGGGGGGGGGGGGTCGCAAGCCAAATTGATGCAAGGGTCATGTTGACTGTTCGCGCCTATGACTTCTTGACATGTTGACTGCTGGCAGTTATCAAGGTCAGTGCTTTGTTCTGACATCTTGACATTTTGAAGGTTGGAAATTGAAGTCTGAACTCGGGGCCTCCTGACGTTTTGGACGGTTTCTGGCTCAAGTCGGACACTGGGGCTTCCCCACCCCTCACCGGTTGACCCGTAGCTCAAGGAGTCCCTGAAATGGAAAACGCGGGGTCTGAAACCAGCGACATGCGGCGACTCAAACATCTCGTCAGCTACCTCCGCCCCAACGAGCGGAAGGTCGTCAGACCTAGTGTAGGTTTGATCAAAAGGCCACGCGTTTCCAAACGGACTACGTGGCCTTGGGGCTCACACCAAAGACCGAATCGCAGAGAAACAAGACCCACGCGTTGCCCAGTTCTTTTGAACTCGCGCGCTGATCAGGCCTGCCAGAGGAAGGCGAGCAGGAAGAAGAAGACCGGGATAATCTGTCCGAAGTGGCAAAACATTGTTCTTGTTTCCTCAATCACAAATTGGAACCCCGATTCATAAACCCATCCTGAAAAACCAGGGTCCGAATCCCCCCCATTCATAATAAAGAACCAGGGGTTCTACTTATATCTGAGATTCCCACCACCTCTGCACCCTCCCGCCCACCATGTGACCTACCAGACAAATGACCGCTTTTGAAATCGGGCCAAACCGGGGACCCTTTCGTCAGTTTCAGTAGCAACCTGGGAGGATAGGCGCCCCGTCAGATTCGGGGTCCTGTTGCACAAAAAGGGGCGCGTGAGTTCGGAGCAAAAGCTACGAAAATGAGCCAAGCCAGGGACCGCGACTTCCTAGAGGCGTCTTTGTTGGAGGCTCGGTACTGTTTGGACGGTATTAAAGGGCAACCAAAAGGAAAACCAAAGCCACTGTGGGGGGTCCGAACCTAAAGAAAGACACACCCACACTGTTGGACAAGATCTACGCAACGAACCTGGGATTCGCGGCTGATCAGTCATGTCTTATCCATGCAAAGCGGATTTGGTCCAGACACAGCTCTTCAGTTGTTGGTCGACGTGGGTGAATCGTGCTGCCTCGCCTCTACACGTCTGTACATGTGTGCCAGGGTCAAAACTCCTTATGGCCTGTGGTCATGGTTCCCTTAATAGGAACCATTGCAATGGTTATTCAGGATCCTTACTACCAGGTGAATGACCATCCCTGCAAAGTAAAGAATCCGGTCTTTTGACCACGGCACATGTTGTGTGTGTGCGTATGTGTGTTTTTGCGGGTACCCGTAGAGTTGGCTCAAAAAGATAGGGGGTAGGTCTTCGGAGCTGGCTTAAAGGACACCAAAGGCAAAGAAGCCAGAAAAAAACGGGAAACTCCACAAATATTGTTTGGGTGGGTATTGGCCACATGTGCTGCAGAAATTCCTGCAACCGGCTTCTATGGCAAAGGCAAGCCATCTCGTTTGGGGGGCTCCTGATTTCCCATGAGAAAGACGGACCTCGCCCTGGATTCAACTCCTCTGAGCCCAGCACGGGAAGCACGTCGACAATGGGCGCAAAGATCACAAACTCCTGGCCAGCTCAGTTGTTCAGTCAAAACCTGTGCCCTTGGTTGGAAAAATGGGCGCGCCGCCTTTGTTCCCCCAAAAGTTCATGTTTATACTCACGGCTTCTTAGGGCAAGCATTAAGGCTGGTTTAGACTTTGCGCTCAACAAGTGTTGGCAGCTGGCGCTAAATGTTGCCTTCGACACGACAGTCTCACACGACACGCGCCTCATTGCGAACTCGCTGTGGTGCCGTGCCGTGCGAATTCGACGCATGACATCGCGCTTTAAGGTTCGCACGACGCTTTTTGAGGAAGCATCGCACCAAACGCGTTGTGATGGAGCAAAGTGCATTTGTAAGGAAGCGTCGTGCCAAAGCACATTGCTGCGCAGTGCACGCGACGCTTTCGCTGCAACGCACCGCCGCGTGCTGCGGCAAATGCTTGCAGCCGCGTGCCGCGACTGCGAAAGCAAAACGTGCGCAACCACTGCACGTTGGAGCAAGCGCGTCTACACAATCGCAACGCGACCTGTCGCGCTGCAACGGCAGCAGATCGTGCTACTGCGCGACACGGCGTGGTGCGCAAGCGCTATCACTAGAACTTGTCATGCCACGCACATGTTCGCTGCAAGCAAGCAAACTGCACGATGCGCCAGCGCGCAAACACATGCTCGCACGTTTCGCTCCGTTTTCGCCGCAAAGGAAGCTAGGAACATAAGAAACGAATCTGCTTCCAACAGTTCTGTTCGGAAATGTATTTGAAAGCGCAGAAAGCTTCCCACCGCGCCCGGTCCAGAGGCGCACGGTATTGCGCATAATATTTAAGTATACTCTCGATTCCATGGCCAGCGCAGCATTCTGTGAGATTGCAGTTTTCGTGGCGGGCGCAGTTTGCTGATTTCGCAGCAAGCGCAGGATTTTCATAAACAGGCGCTGTGAATTGCGTGGCAGGAGCATTTCATTCATTTGCAAGTATTGCAAAATGGAAAGTGAGTCGCAGTGGCTCTTTACAAAACTTGGAGACACAAAAGTTGCCCCTCTGCGGACTTTGGGCTTGCGGACTCGCTGTGGCCTTGGCGTAACATTTATTTGAAACTTTAAATCGGCGTGCTACTAGTTTTGCACCCTGTGTACTGGAAATGTGCACAGGAGTAGTCTGTACCAGTACCACTGAGCTGATGTTTGCCGGGTGTACCAGTACGCTGCCATGTGCCCTAGGGTCGACATTGTGTACGAATAAATTCCCAGAGTCGTTCAGTTGAAAAAAGCCAGCAACTGCGACAAATTTTGTCTTGGCAAGTTTCAGGGGTCCTTGTGGTTTCTTTTTGCATTGCCCAAACTACGCGCCATACCGGACCAAAAATTGAAAAAACAGGGTGTGGGGTACTTGAAAACAAAATTCAGCCCATATGCGATAGGGTACCCACCAACATGATCGTGTTCCGTCCGAGGTCCGCGACTTGAAAGCGCACCCAAAAAGCTTTTTGTTTGTGTTTCTTGTTAAGAACCCGCTACTATTTGGGGTCTCTTGCCGAAATACGTTGTTGCTTGCAAGCAAAACCCATGCCCAGACAAGGAGAAACGAGTGCTCTTGGGCAATTGCGGGCCATTCGTTGGCTGATTGTGTTAGGGAAAATCCAAAGAAACGTGTGCTTTCCAACTGGGGGCTTTCATGCAAAACTTCAAGCCCGGATTCATCAACCAAATGGGTGGATTGGTGTTCTCCCCAAAGTGAAATCCGGATCCCCTTTCATGTTGACCCCAGATCTAAGCAGAACCCGTCCTGGAAGTCCTATCAATAGGGGGTGTCTCCTCCAAAAGTGGTCTGAACAGCTGAAAGGAGACATCCCCATCTCAAAACCAACCAGGCGTTCTACTTAGATCCGGGGTTCCATTTTCAACCGTTTCACCCATTGAGTTTTGGTTCTATGATGGTGATAGAGGTTTAAAAGGGTGCGTCTTCTTTTGGGGACCCCCAAATGCTGTTTTCCTCTTGGTGTAACCACAAAAAAGTGGGTACCCTCAAAAAAGGCACCCGCAAAGCCTGAACTAGCACCCCTATGAAAGCAGGTCGGAACAGAATCTACTAAAATTGCCTATTTGGGAATCGGTGAAACAGGCGCTGCTCAATTCGGGGCAATCCGAACGGGTCCCGATGTTTCCAGTGTCGGGCCTCTGTACATCCACAAAATTCGTGGGTATTTGAGGTGGGAAAGGTTATAAGAGCTAGACAGACGACAACCAGCGCTGCTAACAAGTCGCCTGCTTCCTAACGTCGACCCCGGAATTATCGTTAAACCCATCCTACCAATAAAACGGGTGTCCGCACCCCAACTAGAATGGGCCACCCCCCCATTTCATCAACCCAATGGGTTCGGCTCCTCTGGCAGGCGCGCGTGTGCGGCCTCTGGCGCCAGCATGGCGCCGGCGGCGGCCAACTTGGCGGCATCCTGACATAGGTGGCCTTTTGGAAAAATAAATGGCCCTGGTAAATGGAATAAACCTCATCTAAACCAGGGCCCTCTATAAGCAAACCAACCAAAAAGGACACCTATACATCCTAATCGACGCTTTTCGCGGCCGCGGCCAACGCGTTGGCCCGCGGAGTCGCCGGGGGAAACATGGGACCAGCCTCCGATCTACACTTGGGTTGATTGAAATGGACCCCAGGTGCTTGATGTTCAAAACCATTTCTTTTTGTTCGTGTGGTCTACCCAAAACCACGTAAAGAATCAGATGGCCGGAGATCCACACCTATCTTTGCTTTGGACTGTCGCTACTTACCTTCTCGTATCTGGGTTGTGATCGTGGCTCAGCTATTCTTCGGCTGAAAGGCTGCTTGGGTCTCAAGAGAGAAAGGTCCCGTTCTGGGACCCATGTGGGCGTGTTTTTGGAGGGCACCCTTCTTGGTCTGGTTTTAAAGGGAAAAGAATATGTACGGGTATTCCGATTGTATTCCCCTATTTTGAGACACCCATGTGGGTACCATTCTTGCATGGGGATCCCTTGGAAATCGTCCAGGGTCCACCAGTGTGCAAAGGTAGTCTGCATTGAAGCTCATAGTCTGGTACAACAAAGATCATGGCCATACGTGTTGCACAAAGGATGAGAAATCCAGCTTTTTGTTTGAGGTTCAATTGGACGGTTCGTTGCCAACACAATGGCTTGCTGCTGTTCTCCCAGATTTTTCTAGAAAGAATACATGGGCATATCCCCACAATGCTCATTGCCGTGACCTCGGCCTTGCCACAACAACAACAAAAAACGGGGCTCGGGACCCCTCTTTTGAGACAGCTACATGGGGCTCTCAAAGCGTGATTCGGACCCTCTCTTTGTTGGTAGAGGGAAACCAAAAAGGAAGCCGACTGTTTGAGGGGACCGCTGTGTTGAGAACCCATTTGAGAGGGAAAGCCCGCCGGGTGCGGGAATCCCATTCCCTGTCCCTCGATTTGCTTGGCTTACGGGAAAATGTTTAGGCCTCAAAATGTTCACGTAAATGAAATTCATGTTGCTTTCCCTTTGACTTTGATGCAGCGTTTGGGGAGGCAGAGTAGGGACTATCTCCAAACAAAAATTCCCTGCTCCATGCTAAGCTTGATTAGCATCCTTGGTGCGACACAAAGGGCGAAAAAATGCGCCTTGTTGACCCTACAATATTGCTTGACTTTGGTCAAGTACAACCCTTTTTGCATTCATTGAATGACTCTTCTAACATGGGAGCTGAGGCAAGACGGCGGCACCTCAAGATCCAACAGACTGGTCAACGGCGCCCTGGTTTTTGGGTAAGGGATGTTCCCTCCCCCGTAAGAGGATCGGAGCAAGCCTAAAAGCAAGCTTAAAAGCAAGCCGTGAAAATGAGTGAGTTTTCCAGAGCTCCCCATATGCCCAAAATGGCCATAGTCCTGATATCTTGACCAAACTGGTATGGCACCTCACCTCCCCCTCGCCTCAGTTCGCAGGGTCGTCTTGCCCTCGGAGGGGCTCACGAAGGCGTTCTGCAGGAGGCACAGCGCCGCCAGGGCGGCCAGGAGCACCAGGAGTCCGGAGGAGCCTCAGCGAATCCGCCGGCGGAGGAAGAATATCGGGGGCGAGACCGTGGCAAATGGCGAAGATTCGGACAATTCAGGGACCTGTGAGTTTTGTGGTTCACAGAGAAGGCAAAGGGTGTCTCTTGGTTTATTTGAAGCGGCAAGCCATTCGACTCACATGCAAGCGGCGGCTTAGAAGCTTGAGAGGCGGCCTAGGTATTTGCTAGTTCGTCCTCTTCAGGTTGCAAATCCTCAGTCTACTTCCCGAAAATGTTGGCCCTTTCAACATAGGTTCACGGGTGCCATCAAGAAGTAAAGTGGCCCCTTAAGACACCCTAAGTGACAGGCTGGGACACAGCCTCAGTTTTTGCCGTTTATCCCACCCTAAATAATTGGCACAGAAGTCGCTGCTCCCATGTGCTTAAAGCCTTGACACAAAGAGATGAAGTTACAAATAAGGAAGGAAGCAAAGCCTCAATAGCAAACTTCAAACACAAATAGGTAACGCAGCAAAGCGTCGATATATACAGGGGTACGACATAGCTATATACCTGTGTATATATATATATAGAGAGAGAGAGAGAGAGATTAAGAATAATAATATAAAAAAAGGGGAGCTCCTCTGACAAAAAGAGGGTGTGGGGCCTGGGTTAGGGGTGTGGCCGGGGCTTCCCCTGCCGCCAAAACACGGGCCATGTTGTTTGTGTCCAAAGCGCGGTCCTTCAGCTGCTTCGAGCCCCAAAAAGCTGCGCGCAGACCGTCGATTCGGGGGCGATTCGGGCTGGACAAGCAAGCTCTGAGGGGGGGACTGCATTGGGTGTCTTCTTTAGGGGACCCCCAAAATGGTGGTGTGTCTCTTGGTTTCCCTAAAAAACCAAGGCTTAGGGCACCTTCAAAAGAGACGAGCCACCCATTCTGAAGGCTTGAACACGGCTGGCACATCAGTTGAGAACGCACCAGACACCTCGAAGGACAAGGTGCTTTACCCGCGATCTAACCCTGTCTCCGGTGATCTGATTCCAGGGTACAAAGCGACGCCGCCTTTTCGCGTCCGCGTGTCGCTGGCGGCTGCGTTCTGCCGCTTTGGCCGGCCACGGTTCTGTCGGTGTTGAATGTCTCGGGGCCCTGGCACCGCTTGCCGCCTCCGGTTTCTTCTTCATCACGTCGGCTGTTGACTCTCTGTTGTCCTTTTTCCTCGCTGCCTGCTGGGTAGAGCTGTCGCTTCGTCAGGTGAACGCCGGTGCTTCTGCGTATTTGACCTATTCGCGGCCTCTGCGGCATCGCACGCACTCGATCTACTTGCAGGACTGCCTCGTCGTCGTCCTGATGTGCGGCTTAACTCATGGACAGGTTGCTTGCATACATCTACAATGGTACCTTTTAACCAGACTGCAAGGTGCGAGAGCGAACGAGAATCGCTCCATAAATTGGCGTGTCCTGTTTATAGGATACCCCTTTTGGCGTGGTGTTAAAGGCAAACCAAGAGGACAACCATCATTTTTGGGGGAACGGTTCCCCCCAGAAAAGACACGCCCAAACAATGAATAGATACTGCTGATGACCCGGATTTCAAACACCTTAGACCGCGTTGACCTTTGGCATCCCTTTTTCCCATCTGTATTAGTGGTGCACTTGAGAAAAGACCAAGACAGACCAAGGGTTCTTCTGCACCTTGCTGAAGCGTGAGGATCGGAGCACTGAAAGTTGATCTGAAGAGGGTCTCTTCTCTCATTCTCAGCATGTGCGTGGACCCACAATCCGCATCCAATGCATCCAGCTTGAATCTAGTGTTCAAAATCAATTTCATGATCAAAATCATCCAACTTGAAAGTAAAATATAGTTGAAACCGGGTCAGGGCTTTCCCCATCCAACTCTGCCTTCGCCACTTTTCTCGGATCGTCCGTCCGCCCCCACTGCGTCGGCTCACTGAGCACCCGCTAGCGCCCCCTGCAGGGAGGCGGGTCCAACTGTCAGGCCCATGGGTGTCCCCTACAATAGGAATCCGTAGCCATCAAAACGGATTTCGGGTTTCCTTTTGGCTTCCCCTCAAGAAACCCGCCAAAAGACGGGGTCCCTGAGGGATCTTCTCGAAATTACTTGGGGCTTTCGGGGGGGAACCCCAATAGCAGTCCTCATCCAGAAGGTGATTTTGATGTCAAAATGACGAGGGAAATCGACCAAGCAAACTGGGTCAAAAGGGAGGGTCCTTCTTTTCAGCTAGCGTCATTTACCGATGCACCACCCCTTCGTTGCGGAAAGTACCCGATATGGGTGACATACTGTGGCAAAATCCTGCGAATTATCCCATCCTAGGGTTTCATCCCACTGGTGCAGTGATTTGTCCTTTCACAGTGAGCCGCTACACTTCTTTACCTGGCAAACCCCAATCTCCACTCTGAGTTGGACGCCTATATAAGTCAACAGCCTAAATAAGGGTTGCCAATTGAAGGACCCCTCCCTTTAGGTCCCAAACCGACACGTCTGAACAAGGTCTCCCCCCAAAAGCTGCATGAAAATCCGATTTAGAGGACTTTCTACATGGGGCTGGGATGAAGCTGTTCCCCCTGCCCAAACATCCTAATTTGTTGCAGGTGAGTGAAACGAAATCAGCCGTTCGCCTCCCCCCCCAAAAAAAAAAAACAACTTGAAGATCCAACCCAAGAGCATTCCTCCATCGGCCAGCCCCGCCCGAAACGCCCAACGCCAAACGCCCCCATGGCCTTGGCCGACTCCAGCGTCTCCTTTTCGGCGGCCCTGGCCTGCAGTGGATGTCCGTCGGACCGCCACATAGTTCTGGGGCGTCTGGATCTCACTAGTCGATTTGGGGAAACCAAAAGGAAAGGCAAAACCCCGTTTGGGGGTCCACCGTATGTCCAACCTGAAACACCCCACCAGGAGAACTCACTTCAATTTGGCCCCAATGGTGATGTTTGAAACCTCCAAAAGGGAAAGTATCATCTCGAAACCGCCTCTGCGAAGCTTCTCGCAAACAGAGGCAAGGGTTGCCCCCCTTTCTGAGTGTGTTGGCCAAAAAAGTCCAAACTGTTTGTTTGCCACGAGAAGGGGTTCTTACTAAAGTCCAAGCACTCAGAAAGTGAGTTGTGGTACCAAATGCCCCCGACTGTTGATTTGTCGAAGCAAAGACAATGGCGACCTAAAACCCAATTTCTACAACCATGCCGCTGGGAAGAGAGGCCACGAACCCTTGAGAGCAATCTCAATCTTGGTACCCCTTGGTACCAAAGCGCTTGAGTCGAGATGCTAGTAAAGCGCACAAGATTCTGGCAAAGGCCGGCCTCCTCGCACTGGCTGTCATGTAGCGCCCACTTTTAACAAATCGTATCGTGGCCATTCGACGGCCCGAGGGGAACCAAAACACGGCAAAAAGCAAGAAAGCGTTTTGCCCGCGATTTCTGGCCACTGCCCGGCATTCGCTGGGTCTACCGTCTACCCAGAAGAAACGGTAACGAATAAAGAAAGCTTCGTGGCGCTTCTACTTCTGGCAACTGTCCCAACCATTTGCTTGCCCAGGGTTTGATTCAGGTTCACTTGGGCCTTCCTATTTAAGGAACCACGCGACAAGGAAACAACAACGGGACCCAAATAGGTGTTCTAGGGGAAAGCAATTTCAACGTGTGCCTCAAATCTTAAAAACGGCACACAATGTGCTTTTGGTTTTGGTGGCTTGTACTGTTGAGCCACCTTGGTCGGCCTCGAAAAGTTACTGAATGCTCCCTGGACATGTTGGATCGATGGCATGAGGTGGGCTCCACATGTTCCAACAATCTTGGAATCATGGGACCTTTGAAGGGGTCGGGGTCCAAGCCAGGATAAGCGCATGGGATAAGCCCCGCCAAACCCCGCCAGAGTCCTGACCCATGGGTCAAGGCGGAGTGTGCCGCCATTCATTCCAGGCGTCTGCCCACTCACCACATGGGTATGGGTCAAAATTAAACCACCAGGGGACCAAAGGTTTTAGTCCATGTTTCCATTGACCAGGGTGCCATTTTGGGCAACTATTCTTGACCCACAGCCACATAGCTTGACCTGTAGTTTGGCATTCCCTGACAAAAGTTGGCCTTTGGCCAAGGGTCCCATAGATCTTTGGGAAACCGGCATGCAATTTTTGGAAACCGGACCGCCAATTTCGGCGGCTGGTTCCTTCAGATGTCATTGCCCCGCCCCGGGCCCCGCCGTCTTGCGCGCGTCATAGTTGGACAGCAGCCAAGAGCAATCCTCGCAAGGAAAAAATCCAGGGTTGCCTTTTGGCGTCCCTTTGAAGCAAGACAAAGACGAATAGGGCAAAACAGCCGTCACATGGTACTACCTCAACACACTGCCGTTAGAAGGGAGGGTCTCTCAACGCTTAAGAACCCAACTGACAATGAACAAGCGACCCGCGTCCAACCAGAAGCAAGCAAGGCAGCAACATCTCTCCTGGCCTTCCTTTCGTGCCACAGGTTTAAACCTTCCAAACAAGACATGCCCCTGAAACTGTGACCAGCTGCTGCAAACTGCAAGCGGCCGGTGTCTGGTTCAGAACCACCCTGGAGGGCAGACCCTCTCGGCCCCCAAGTCGACCGGCACATGGTACAAACGTCAACACACTGCCGGTACAAGGGAGGGTCTCACAAAGCTTGGCTGCTTCACTTCACAGCAAAGACCAAGCCACCCACTGCCAAGCCGACTCAAGCAACCCCTACCGCTCTCCTGGCCTTCTTTTCGTGCCACAGATGCAAACCTTCCAAACAAGACATGCCCCTGAAACTGTGACCAGCTGCTGCAAACTGCAAGCGGCCGGTGTCTGGTTCAGAACTACCCTGCAGGGCAGACCCTCTCGGCCCCCAAGTCGACCGGCACATGGTACAAACGTCAACACACTGCCGGTACAAGGGAGGGTCTCCTCAAAGCTTGGCTGCTGCACTTCACAGCAAATACCAAGCCACCAACTGCCAAAGCGAATCAAGCAACCCCAACCGCTCTCCTGGCCTTCCTTTCGTGCCACAGATGCAAACCTTCCAAACAAGACATGCCCCTGAAACTGTGACCAGCTGCTGCAAACTGCAAGCGGCCGGTGTCTGGTTCAGAACCACCCTGCAGGGCAGACCCTCTCGGCCCCCAAGTCGACCGGCACATGGTACAAACGTCAACACACTGCCGGTACAAGGGAGGGTCTCACAAAGCTTGGCTGCTTCACTTCACAGCAAAGACCAAGCCACCCACTGCCAAGCCGACTCGAGCAACCCCTACCGCTCTCCTGGCCTTCCTTTCATGCCACAGATGCAAACCTTCCAAACAAGGCATGCCCCTGAAACTGTGACCAGCTGCTGCAAACTGCAAGCGGCCGGTGTCTGGTTCAGAACCACCCTGCAGGGCAGACCCTCTCGGCCCCCAAGTCGACCGGCACATGGTACAAACGTCAACACACTGCCGGTACAAGGGAGGGTCTCACAACGCTTGGCTAGCTGCACTTCACACAGCCGGTGGCCCCGACTCAAGCAACCCCTACCGCTCTCCTGGCCTTCCTTTCATGCCACAGATGCAAACCTTCCAAACAAGACATGCCCCTGAAACTGTGACCAGCTGCTGCAAACTGCAAGCGGCCCGTGTCTGGTTCAGAACTACCCTGCAGGGCAGACCCTCTCGGCCCCCAAGTCGACCGGCACATGGTACAAACGTCAACACACTGCCGGTACAAGGGAGGGTCTCACAAAGCTTGGCGGCTTCACTTCACAGCAAAGACCAAGCCACCAACTGCCAGGTCCAATCAAGCAACCCCCACCGCTCTCCTGGCCTTCCTTTCATGCCACAGGTGCAAACCTTCCAAATGAGGCATGCCCATGAAACTGTCACCAGCTGCTGCAAACTGCAAGCCGCCGGTGTCTGGTTCAGAACCACCCTGAAGGGCAGACCCTCTCGGCCCCCAAGTCGACCGGCACATGGTACAAACGTCAACACACTGCCGGTACAAGGGAGGGTCTCACAAAGCTTGGCTGCTGCACTTCACAGCAAAGACCAAGCCACCCACTGCCAAGCCGACTCAAGCAACCCTACCGCTCTCCTGGCCTTCCTTTCATGTCACAGATGCAAACCTTCCAAATCAAGCATGCCCTTGAAACTGTGACCAGCTGCTGCAAACTGCAAGCGGCCCGTGTCTGGTTCAGAACCACCCTGAAGGGCAGACCCTCTCGGCCCCCAAGTCGACCGGCACATGGTACAAGCGTGAGCACACTGCCGGTACAAGGGAGGGTCTCACAAAGCTTGGCTGCTTCACTTCACAGCAAAGACCAAGCCACCAAATGCCAAGCTGAATCGAGCAACCCCAACCGCTCTCCTGGCATTTCTTTCATGCCACAGATGCAAACCTTCCAGCAAGGCCTACCCCTGAAACTGTGACCAGCTGCTGCAAACTGCAAGCGGCAGACCCTCTCGGCCCCCAAGTCGACCGGCACATGGTACAAACGTCAACACACTGCTGGTACAAGGGAGGGTCTCACAAAGCTTGGCTGCTGCACTTCACAGCAAAGACCAAGCCACCCACTGCCAAGCCGACTCAAGCAACCCCTACCGCTCTCCTGGCCTTCCTTTCGTGCCACAGATGCAAACCTTCCAAACAAGACATGCCCCTGAAATGTGACCAGCTGCTGCAAACTGCAAGCGGCCCGTGTCTGGTTCAGAACCACCCTGCAGGGCAGACCCTCTCGGCCCCCAAGTCGACCGGCACATGGTACAAAAGTCAACACACTGCCGGTACAAGGGAGGGTCTCACACAGCTTGGCTGCTTCACAGCAAAGACCAAGCCACCCACTGCCAAGCCGACTCAAGCAACCCCTACCGCTCTCCTGGCCTTCCTTTCGTGCCACAGATGCAAACCTTCCAAACAAGACATGCCCCTGAAATGTGACCAGCTGCTGCAAACTGCAAGCGGCCCGTGTCTGGTTCAGAACCACCCTGCAGGGCAGACCCTCTCGGCCCCCAAGTCGACCGGCACATGGTACAAAAGTCAACACACTGCCGGTACAAGGGAGGGTCTCACACAGCTTGGCTGCTTCAC